CACACACACAAACTCACACACACACACACACACACACACACACACACTCACACACACACACACACACACACACACACTCATATCCCATCTGCCATTGCAGCTGCTGTTGTGTTGCATTCATTTTAGTCCATAGTTTGTGTATCTGAAGTTAATTTTTTAAACAAAACAACGTATAGGGTGGAGAGGTTTGAGTTAACGAAGTATTTTGTGGTAATTGCAGCTGCTGTTGTGTTGCATTCATTTTAGTCCATAGTTTGTGTATCTGAAGTTAATTTTTACTCCCTCTTTTTTAAACAAAACAACGTATAGGGTGGAGAGGTTTGAGTTAACGAAGTATTTTGTGGTAAATAAAAGCTGCACCCAGAAGCCCCACTCATTTACAGATGGAGTATGTATGTATATCTACGAGCACACATGTCGCTTCCCACGATCCCTTGCAGCTTCCCCTCACCGCCCCAGCTTTATATCAACACTAACTGAAAAGAGCAGGTGTTTCTACTTTAGCTTGAAAATCCTCCCACACACTGTCCAATTCGCCTATAAGACATCAGAATAAAATAAGACATATGTAGAGCTCAGAAAACTCCTCTCACGATCACAGCAGATGGTGAACAATTTCTACAAAAGACCTCAACCTACAAACATCTCCTGATGCTGTAACTGTAAGCCCCGCCCTCTGAAATAAACCATTAATTGTAAGCCCGCACCCAAATAAACACCAGTCACTGTAAGCCCCACCCTCTAATAAACACTAGTAACTGTAAGCCCCGCCCTCAAAAATACAGCATCTCTGTAAACCCCACCCTCAAATATACACCAGTCACTGTAAGGCACTGTAACCCTGCCCTCAAATGAACACCAGTCACGGTAAGCCACTGTAAACTCCGCACTCTAATATAAGCCAGTCACTGTAAGCCCACCCTCAAACAAACACCAGTCACTGTAAGCCCTGCCCTCAAACATACAGCAGTCTCTGTAAACCCCACCCTCAAATATGCACCAGTCATTGTAAGCCACTGTAACCCCGCCCTCTATTATAAGCAGTCACTGTAAGCCCCACCTTCAAACAAACACTAGTCACTGTAAACCACTGTAAGCCCCGCCCATAATATACAACATTCACTGTAAGACACTGTAAGACCCGCCCTCTAATATACAACAGTCACTGTAAGACCCACCCTCTAATATACACCAGTCACTGTAAGACCCACCCTCTAATATACACCAGTCACTGTAAACCACTGTAAGCTCCGCCCATAATATACAACAGTCACTGTAAGACACTGTAAGACCCGCCCTCTAATATACAACAGTCACTGTAAGCCCCACCCTCTAATATACGCCAGTCACTGTAAGACCCACCCTCTAATATACACCAGTCACTGTAAACCACTGTAAGCTCCGCCCATAATATACAACATTCACTGTAAGACACTGTAAGACCCGCCCTCTAATATACGCCAGTCACTGTAAGTCACTGTAAGACCCGCCCTCTAATATACACCAGTCACTGTAAGTCACTGTAAGCCCCGCCCTCTAATATACACCAGTCACTGTAAGCCGCTGTAAGCCCCGCCCTCTAATATACACCAGTCACTGTAAGCCACTGTAAGCCCTGCCCTCTAATATACTCCAGTCACTGTAAGTCACTGTAAGACCCGCCCTCTAATATACGCCAGTCACTGTAAGCCGCTGTAAGCCCCGCCCTCTAATATACACCAGTCACTGTAAGTCACTGTAAGCCCCGCCCTCTAATATACGCCAGTCACTGTAAGCCGCTGTAAGCCCCGCCCTCTAATATACACCAGTCACTGTAAGTCACTGTAAGCCCCGCCCTCTAATATACGCCAGTCACTGTAAGCCGCTGTAAGCCCCGCCCTCTAATATACACCAGTCACTGTAAGTCACTGTAAGCCCCGCCCTCTAATATACGCCAGTCACTGTAAGCTGCTGTAAGCCCCGCCCTTTAAAGTCGGCATGAAACGGAAGTAGCGATTGTCTTTTTTTCTCTACTGTGACATCTATGCGTGTGAAACAGCATCTGAAATGAGAGGGAGGGACTTGATTTCGTCCTTCTGGAATTGATTGGATCATTGGAAGTTGGGGCGTTGCTAACAAAATGGAGGCAGATCTGAATGCCAGTTTGCAGTTAGTTGTGGGGGGATTTCTCTCCAGTGGATTCACCGCCGACTCCCTAGCATGAAGACATTTTTTATTTATTGAGGAAGACTACGACAAGGACGATCATCGGCACAAAACATGCCTAACAGCGCGCGCAACTGCCTGAATGACTGAGCACGTCCTCCATCAGGTTAAGTCCTATTCATGAAAAAATAGTTTGCGATGTCCTAACTAAGATTAATGTTGTGGTAATATCCTAATATCCTTTCAATTGTAAGGGTAGTGTACTCCCCCATGGCTTGCGTCAGCACTGGTCAATGCATTGATTTCTATAAAGTGAAGCATCAGCTAGCTTCAGCGTTTCCCCCTGTCGATTATCCCGGCGTTTACCCCTCATGTCACTAGCTCCGCCCTTGCGCCATAGCTCGTGACCGGAAGAGAAGATGAGTCGTTTTGAGGGGGAGGGGAGGTTGCACGGATAGATTATTTATAATAAACACTACAGTATCCATTAAAAAATAAGAATTTTTTTCCAGTTTTTCACTTTTGATTTCATGCCGACTTTAATATACACCAGTCACTGTAAGCCCCACCCTCAGCCCCACCCTCTAATATAAACCAGTCACCGTAAGCTCCGCACTCAAACATTCCCCAGTGCATCTCCTCAGGCCACACCCCCTCTTTCAAACCCCACCCCTCCGGTCCCCAGGCTTGGCTCTTACTATGTGAAGCTCCAGATAGTCTCCGAGCCCCTTGGCGCTCTCCACCCGCACCAGAACGGCCTCCTTCAGCTGCGTGCTGAAGCCCACGGCCAGCCGGTCTGCCCTCGTGCTCGGCCGGTCGTTCGGGGGCCACGTGTACGTGATGAGGGCCCCTCCGCGGCCGAAGATGTAGGTCGTCCCAGCTGAAACACAGACACAAACACACCATCAGAGAGAGCATCAGTCTAGCTGTAGTGTGAATGAGAGCCGGAGGTCACTGCGTCTGCTTCAGTCGTGTGCCGACGCTCATGACTGATTGTGTTCAAGAGACCTTCCAAATGCTTGGCTCCGTGGATCTGAGATCAAGAGCCAATCAGCACCTGTGAACAGAGCCCTAATGGAGCTTCATCAGAGCTGAGGCATGACTTTATACAACACACGCTCTGCAGTGAGTCACGCTGATCACACCACCAATGAAGCACATCACTGCATAAACATAAACACACACACGCACACACACACACGCGCTGGACTGAGCGGAGGTTTTACTCGACAAAGATAAAACAAAAAAGATTGCCCATGATGATAATTAAATGAAACATGCTGTTGACAAAATTTAGAACTACACTATCTAGAAGAAGAGTGTAGGAAGAGTTCATGCAAATACTGCCACAACATGAGCAGTTTGAGCTGAATTGCCATATGTAATATGGCAATACATTAATACTTTAATATTACTAATTAATATCAATAAAGGACACATTTAATTGATCAAAAGCGACAGAACTTTCTTATGAACTTTCTATTCATCTGTGAATCCTGAAAAATAAAATGCATCAATTTCCACAGAAATATTGTGCAGCACAACTGTTTCCAACATTGATAATAATCAGAAATGTTTCTTGAGCAGCAGATCAGCATATTATACTGATTTCTGAAGATCATGTGACACTGAAGACTGGAGTAAAGCCGCGGTCACACTAGACTTTGAGCATGCAAAATTGTTTCGCATGCTGCAACGGTCGTGATATGATGTCACGCTGTGCAGTGTCTTTTTAAAAAACTTAAATTCAACACGTAACAAATTATAATACACCTAAAATGTAAAAAACATGCAATCTAAGAAGGCGTAACTTTTATTCTCACTGTAGTATTGTTGCTGCCGCCGCTATGTCGTGAAGACGCTGTGTTTCGTTGTGAAAGCGAAACTACTTTGTTTGGTCTTCCAAAAGAGGACACAACTAGAAATCAGTGTTAAGTTGTATTTACAACACCGTTCCAGAACACTTCAACCCAAATATTCAGATGTGTGCAGCACATTTTATGGAGGACTGTCTCCTGATCCTGGGAGAGTAGACTACAATGCCGGCGGTTCTGACTCGCAGACTGTAAGTACGTTTTCTATATTTAAAGAGTTTGCCACTGACGATTCAAACGTGAGTTTTGGGCAGTGTAGAGTAGGGCTTGTTGTTTGTTGTTTGTCTCTGATCACAAATGCAGACATGGTTTTATGTTTATGTGGCGCGATGCAATGCAACTTGTAAAAAGTCAGTAAAAGTTATTATAATCAGTAATTATGTCCCCACTGCATGTTACATTTTTACAATTTCTGCAGTTACATTTACATGAATGCATTTGGTGGACTCTTTTAATCAAAGCGCCTTGCATTGCATTTAAGGTGTACATTTATTTGATTAATTCATGCATTCTCTAGGAATCAAACCCATGGCTTCGCTGTCTCTATTCTGCAGGAAAGTAGTTAGTGCTTGTTGTGACCAGTAACCCATCTAACACTTCTGACCAACTCCTTCTGAAGATGAGAAGCGGTTGAGGATGTCAGTGGGTTTAAGTGCTAATAATTCAACCAGGAAGAAGAAGAAATGAAAAGGCAGAAATAAAAGGAAGCGTCTTGTGACTGGCAAGCAGCAGAACATCAGCCACACCTCCACAATTTCAGTCTGGTCGAGAAACGCTGTCACAGTCCAGCCGTTCTCAAGCACACAGCCATTTAGCATTGACTCAATCGCTGCTCTCCTTCCCTCAGGCTACAGACGCTTCAGACGCGTGCTGCTGCTTGTAGTATCTGGCAACCGACTAATTATCAGAGGAAAAACACATCAGAGAAACACAAGAGCCTCATGGGAAACAGAGCGAGGAGGAGGAGGAGGAGGAGGAGGAAGGCAGGACTGAATTGTCTCAGAAGGAAAAACAGCAGCAGGACGAGTGCAAGACGCAGTTTCCTTTCATCGCGTCTCTGTTTGTGAAGCGACGTCACACTAACCCATTCTCAAAACACAAAACAAAGAGAGAGTGTAAAATGGCTGCGGGGAACGGATGAGAGACATGTTGAGTCTCTCTCTCTCTCTCTCTCCCTCCAATCTCATTCCTTCTCCTCATGAATATGAAGTGTGACTGAAATGAGAGCGTGTCGCAGGAACCCACATCAACTGCAGCTTCATTCTGCTCAACTCATTCTCACTCTCACTCCATCTCACACACACACACACACACACACACACACACACACAGACACACACTGACACATCTGAGTGAATGAAGTGGTGTGTGTCTGTCAGTGAGATGCTCTGAGTGGTAAAATCACTATGCATCATCAAAACAGCATTAAAAACTTTATTCTTGATCGTCTGAGCTCAGGCTGTTATTCTAGAGGAGTGCAGAGGCAGAAATCTTCATCCTCATCCTCACAAACCTCAGTAATGTAGAGATCAGCTGACCAGACGATCAATCCTATAAATCACATCACAGAAGAGATGCTGTGAATAATCATCACCACACCACAATAACAAACAGCCCTCTGCATAATGCATTCCTGCTGCAGTGCATGCTGGGAGCAAAGTGCACTGACTTGAACACGTCTGAATCAACTCCATTAGCTAATGCATCACATCTACAGACCCTAGCAACCACACACAGCACCCTAGCAACCGCACAGCCCCATGTGACTGACGTGCTTTGATTTGTTGTGCATCCAGTGATTAATTATAATGACTGCGGCTGATAATGAAGAGAGAGTGTGTGTGTGTGTGTGTGTGTGTGTGTGTGTTTAATCAATGGCTGAGTCAGAGACACTAGAGACAGCCGTCAGATGAACGTGTTTGATTCTAACACTCCTAATTGCTGTTATTGCAGGTCTAAATAAAAACAACACCACACAAGCAGTCTGGATACTAAAAAAAGAATCAAAAGAACGAGTACACACACACGCACACGCACACACGCACGAACGCACACACACACACACATACTCATACATACACACACACACACACACACAAACATTTATCAAAATGTCTCAATAACATCTATGTTCCACAAAAACAAAAGTCATGCAGGTCTGAAATACAGGAGGGAGTAAACGCTGACAGAATGATCATTTATAGCTGAATTGTCCCTTCATGATCAAGATCAGTCCAGAAGCAGAAGCAGCAGCAGTAGCTGAAGAGAGTTGAGCTGAGATCCTGATCAATGCAGGGCTCCTCACACGGATCACACGCATGTGGCTCGAAGCCGAGCGGTCAATGGTGAAGCTCCAGACACCTGTCTGATCCGTGAGGAGCGCTGGCCGCTGAGATCAAACACATGCTGTCATCAGCCAGCAGGACCTGAGTGAGAGCAGGCCTTTCACCTACACCGCGGGATCGCTGGAGACGCGACGCTGCTGTTTTTGGGGATTTGATCGATGCAGTGCACAATCAAATCTCCTCATGATCAGATCTGGACCTTCAGCACCATCAGAGCGGCATTTTCAAGAGATGAAATGAAGCTAAAATAAAATGTAAATATTAAATGAACAACTTAAATCAAAATAAAGTTGAAGTAAAAACTAATAAATTTACATATAAAATGCAATTTTAATAAATCAAGAGAGAGAGAGAGTCACTTCATCAGCATTTTACCTTTTCTTTTGAGAAAAACTATCGTCATATCATATACAAACAGAATCTCAAAGGGCTTCACAGCAATCCGTCAAAATAACAGTTGGTTTAATTTGAAGAAACTGTGACAGAAATATATTAATTAATGTAATGAGAGTACTACTACTACTACTACTAAAATTATTATTATTAAAGCACTATTTTTATAAAATCAATGTTGTTAGGTCTGTTAGTAAAATCTGTTGACTTTAGCAATCGTTGTTGCATTTTGTGCCAATGGTGACCGTTCAAAAATGGGGAAACAGCACTTTTCAAGTTTTTTCTACAAAGTTTGCAGGCCTGTAACTCAAGAAGAATTAAATATATCTTAATGCCCTTTTAGATTTTGGGTCTTAACAAACTTTAATTTTGCCATCTTCATTTTTAAGGCCCTGCATGTTTCGATTCCAGAGATATTTCAATATGGCTCCAGAAGTAAATCGTTAAAATGTACACATTTTCAGTGTTCAAAAACCAAATCTGGGTCAATTTGTAAAAAAAATATATATATTTTAAAGAGGAATGTCTGAAGAACAAATAATGTTGAAACTAGAGATGTATCTTGTTTCCTTCTGTCAAAACAACTGCATTGAACATAACTGTCTGAGTGACATAAATATTATTTTTCCAAAGTTTGTGTGCCTATAACTCAAGAAGTATTTAAGATATCACAATTTGATTTTAGATTGTAGTTGTTAATAAACTTTTCTATAAGTCTATGAAATAAAACAGATTTCATAGGGCCTAAAATGTGTGGCAGCAGGAGTTTCTGCTGCAGCTCAGATGATCATTAGTGATTTAGCTGGACGTCTTAAAAGTCATCATCTGTGTGGACGTGATGAACCCAGAGCGAGTCCTATCAGTGTTACCAGCAGCAGCTGGAGAATCAGGAGGATCTGAAGGACACAGTTTATCCTGCTTCACTCTTTTTCTGTGTGACTTGCATTTCTTTCTCTTTCTTACAGTCAGAGCGTCTCCTGAGCGTTTAGCCGTCTTCCTCTCATCCATCATTAGGAGCTGCCCAATCGTGTCTGACTATAATGTACCGCATCACGTGTGTCAGAGAAACGCCAATTACACATCTGACTTCACAAAACACACACTATCACAACAACACAACTGAGAACTCCAGCTTTTCAAGCATTCCATGACACTGCACTGCTACACCATGCTGTCTATGATCCCTCTCCTTTTCCTGCAGATTCTGCAATGTGTATGTTAAGTTATTGTGCTCGTGTTTCTGAGCTGCAGGTTTCATTTGTGTGTGT